GTACGGAAAACGTAGTTCCAAATACATTACAGTCAACTGTCTCGCGGAGTTACGTTCCACTTATAGTCACAGTAATCCTCAAGGCATCGGTGTTAATCTGTTCTCTCGTCTTGATTGGTGGATGATACGAGTGATACTACTATTCTTTCCAAAACATTAGTCTTTCATTCAGGGGCGTTCATAATGAAAGAATGTAACACGTTTGTAAAAAAGAAGTAATATAATTAATTAGATGCTGGTTTCTGGGAAGAGGCACGATGTTTTCAGGTTGCATAGTAGAGGCCTGACCTGAACACGCTCAAAGGTCAAACCGATTCAGGCAAGTTCATGTGCATTGTTATTGTTGCTACTGCCCGAAACGATGTCCCTGTGGAACCAAGCCTTTGAGGAACACACCCAGGCGACAAGAGCAAATCTGGACTAGCGGTCGAATGATATTGACAGGGGAAATCCCACACACGTACATGGGAGCAGGCATGGTCCTCCGTAATGAGAAGAGGCTACTAACCGCCTGGGTTATGGTTCAAACCTAATAATTCTACACAACACAGAAGGTAAATAAGCTATCTTAATATTAACCTGATGAAATTTAACTTCATGAGCTCCGGTTTACATCGTAAGCCATGACGACGATAAAACAAGGATTACGAATACACAAGAAAAACCACACATAAAACATTTGTGCCTCAAGTAGGATTCGAACCTATCACGAATACACAAGAAAAACCACACATACAACATTTTCGTATATTCATTTGTGCCTCAAGTAGGATTCGAACCCACGATACAAAAGCGATCATCAATGCCACGAGTTCGATTACAACAATCGATCCTAATGTTCGAGCGGTCGAAAACCGCGCATACGATCACATGACCACTGTGATCGTCTTCATTTGACTTAATTAAGTTGTATTAGAAATCGCGTTTAACTGCTTTATTATAAAACTAACCTAATAACTTTCATGACACAATGTGAATAATAGACTGGACCAATTTGCTGCATAATACAATGGATCTTAGAAAGTTCATTAAAACCATTCTTACCCGTACGGTCTATGCTCCAACGATCCATTTTAATTACCCAGCTGCTCATTCAAGAAATTCAAGATTCTTCTACAGAACCCAAAGATTCATTATCATTACGACAAAGCTCAACATTGAACTCTATACAACGTAGGTCTGTACACACACAATTACTTTACCGTCCACGCCCTGTTTCACAAGAATGCTCATAATGAGGTTTATAAAACAAAAACCTCAGTTTTACTTTAAACTGCAGTTAGTAAAAACAGGATCTCTTAAAAAACACGTAAAACGGCTAGTTTGCAAGAATTACAATGAGCAGTTTTAATTCACAGCTTTAACAGGGTTAAAATTATACTAGTAAAAGTAAGTAAAGTTTGTCCCACTATACGCCATGTAGGCGCTTGGGGGGAGTGGAGGTATAGCTCCTCTCTTCCTTGACCTCGGCACTAGATGGGGGTGAGTGGTCAGCATCATGCCCCGGCCGGCTTTACTCCCGAGAAAGGACCCCGGTAACCATTGTAGAGGAGGCTGGGTGGGCCCCAGAGCCGGTCTGGACGCAGAGACTAGAGGAAAAATCCTCTGCCCCCGTCGGGGATCGAACCCCGGCCGTCCAGCCCGTAGCTAGTCACTATACTGACTGAGCTATCCTGGTACTGTTCAAAAATTCACTGACGTTGTCGGAGACGCGACGCGTATAAATACACGTGTTCCAAAGAATTGAGATCGTACATAAAACATCCTTCTACCCTCCTATACAGGCCATGCAATTAGTCTTTATTTCAAGTTTCCCAACCAAAATTCCGTATGTTTTCATGTTTCCTATTTGTTTCTATTGCGTATAACCATTTTCTCAGAATCGTGTAATGAACGAAACTGCCCCAGCTGGGTAAGGGCCCAATATATGTGCAATCAACTGGCAATGTTAATGTATGAATCCAACGGTCCTTCACTGTCCTACGTCTGACAGCGCATTCACTTTCATTACATTTCCACTGGGAAATACAATGCCTGTCATCTGCTCGTTTCCCAGCATGCACCAGGTGCAACAGAGTAGACTAATGAAGCTACTGAACCTAAAACAGTGCCTACTAGTTAATGAATGTAAATTAACAGTTTCGGGGAACGGAGATATTTTCGTGTATGAAAATAGCACCTTCTCCTTCGAAGCTCCCTTCATCCAGTAGGCGTTTCATGACTTCAAGCAAATTTCCACAAAATTGCATAAAAACAGTCTACTACTCTACATCTTATGTCAATAAGACGTAAAACTATTATTTAAAATATCTTTAGATATGGTTTATATCTATAAAAATTAAATAAAATAATTATGTATCCCTCCACAAAACAATCCCCTATAATTTCGTAATTGTTTGCTTTGTAACAAGATTGCAACACGATTTAAAAGCAGAAATTTGTATATCTTACGTCATTTTAAAATTTTAGTATCATGAAATCTTTAATGCAAAATATACTTGTATTTCGATCAACGTTACTATCAGCCCTGAAGATGGAGGCAACATTCCTACGAAGCGTTGGCATCTATCGACCAGCCTAAGCGGCGCCAAAACCCAGAACATCATCAATGTTACTAACAGTTTATTATTTACTGACTTAGTTAAAAATAAACTTGTATTTTGATCAGCGTTACGAATTTTAGAGTTCAGTTCTACTTCGACAGTTCATCACTCTCTCTCTCTCTCTCTCCAATAAGCACGCCAATTTTCACCAAAATTGGCGTGCTTATTCATTCAGCCCAGGAAGAAGTTTTACATGAGTAAAAATTCTGAAAAACTGTCCTGGGCTCGAAACCCGATAAGGGCGGTCTCTGTATCTTGATTTGTCGAGTACTTTAATTCACAACGATGGAGTTCGGTGGAAGATTAAGTAAACCATGAAACTCCTGCCACTCTAGCACAACAGTGAAACATACTGGCTGGTTTCCATGCGGCTATTTCAAGAATCTGAGCTGATTTTGTGTTGCGATTCACTGAGACTTCACTTAATGTCCGTTGTGCTAATTATCATCGTTATCAAGATTAATGAGATCTAAACTTGAATATGCTTTTGTCGTATGGAATTCTCGTAACTTCTACTGACACCGACAAGCTCGGGAGCATTCAGCCGAAGTTTTTAGCTCTGCGTTACAATTGTTTGTGTCCTTACGAGACTGCCTTAGAACACCTAAATTTCCATATCGTATGCTGTACGCAGCGCCACTTAAATGTTCTCTCTCTTTCTAGTGTTTACAGTTGATACAGATTCAGTCTTTCCTCGCTCCAAACTGATGGCGTTCGTGTTCCTTGTCGTAATTTTAGAGATTTCCCCTCGTTTACTGTTGGTTCTTAACGTAAACATTGCCCCTCCGCTAGATGTAAATCAGCCGCAAATGTTTAAAGGTCTTGACATGTTTCGTGAGAAATTGTAAATGCTTAAGCATATTTTAAAGTAACGTTCTTTTGTACCAACCTTTGTTCATTACATTTTCTTTTCAATAGTTTCATTATTTTTCTTTATTATAATTTATTTGTTTACTGTTATTTTGTTAGTATTTAGTTTTTAAATGTAAATTTTCCAAGTAAAAATTATGTCACATACAAGCTGTTAAAGGGACAGTTTAAATTAATAACAATATGTGATCATTTAAATAAAATTCATATCTGAGCATAAACTATGGCATTTTGTCATTTCTGAATAATTATTATTCAAAAAAATAAATAAATAAAAAAACAACGAAAACTGGCCATAACGTTTGAAAAAAGTGTCAAAGGGTTTCATTACCCTTGGGTCAAATGGGAGAAAAATGCTAGACCACTTTGACGAAAAATATCAGACAAAAACAGCTAACATGTCCGAAACAAAACAAGATGTATACCAAAGAACTTGTTTTTCCTTTACGAAAAACCAAACCAAACCAAAGTCACTGCACGTTCGTCAATTGTTCGATTTGCCTGGTTCAGTTTCCACCTTAAGCTTCAATTAGAATGACCTGAAAAATGACCCACTACCCTCACTTTAGAGTCAACTCATGACACTCTAAAAGTGGGAAGCTTTCTTATTAACAGCAACTACTTCATGTGAGGACAAAGTGGAGCGATCGAGTTTTGTGACTTATCATACGCGTTTTCGGTAACCGCGGCAAAAATTCAAAAGTATATTACCTACATCAAACCTTCTCAGCGCTTATCATACAATGCGAATCAAATAATAAACTTAGCATCAGAGAATTCTATTGACAATTTAATATAAAAATTGTTTTTATCGTCATACGTTTCCCGTTTTCGTTATACGCGGCGATTCGCAGAAACGTGGTCCCCGTGTATAACCAGAGTCATCTGCTTTCTTCTCCTACTGCTGCTATGGATAAATCAAGGCGTTATAATACGCGAAACATCTAATAGTAGTGAAAGTACATACAGGTTTTAGTGAAAAAATCATCTTATATCTTAGTATTTCATTTTTAACTCGAATATATTCATGAATATATAAGTTATAAGAATGTTAACTGGGTTTAAGATTCTTTTATCAAGTGAGAGACCAATACACCAATGCGTCAGTACATGGCAATAGCACGTCCAAGTTCTTGATGAACCAGGGTAACAATTTTATCTTTACATTACCAGCAGATCTTTTTTCGGGAGTAAAACGGTCGGATTGTAAAACTGACAATGTCAACATTCCGTAAGCTGAATCTCCACTCTACCTACACGTCATCATGGAGCATGAAGATGTCTAGTCTTCTGAGGTGTTGCACTGTACAGTCTGGTAGAAATTTATCGACATTTCAGAGGCAACAAGCACGTATCACAACGTCGGTAAACTTCTACGAGTTTACACGGGGGCAACAACCCAGAAGACAGCCATCTTCAACTCTGAAATTGCTTACTACAAATCAAAATAGTACTAACACAAAATAAACTGCTTTGGATACGCATAATAAGTGTTTATCGAAACACAGCATCAACTGGTGGGGTTCCGACAAGAGAGGGAGGAACAGGTATGTACCCATGATCACTTAGACCGACCTCACACTCAGGAGAAAGTTGACTTCTACACAAGTAAAAAGCAGTTACACTAAAAAGACATTTAGACGGAGACCACAGTCGGTGGCGAGCTAACGAACAGTTCACACGTGGTGTGTGTGTGTCTGCGTGTCCACTGACAAATGGTAAATATTTTGTGTGACAGTGACTTTCTGAAAGAAAATCCAGTGAAGTTTCATCAAATATAAAGTGATTTTAAAAGCAATACTTTCATTAAAACAGGCAAGATAACTCATCGGGCTACATACTTGTGTTAAATACAGAGAATGCTTGTCGAAAGATCGTGATTTTTGACAAATTCTTTGGAGGACGCGAGGTGCAAACAGAATCTGTGAAGTGCGAAATAGCGGACGTGCGCGAAGAACGAAAAACCACAATCTGCGCATGTCCCTTATAGACGAGACAGGGGGCGTATATTTATTTTCGTAAAGGGCAAAGTGATGGATCATCTTTCCACCAACAGCCCCTAGTCTGAACACAGCAAGGCCTTCAGCCACGACAAACAAAAACCCGTTAGCGTCAGCATATCCCCAGTTATAATTTGTTACGAACCGTTAACCACTTCTAGCAATGCGTTTTGTACACAAGAATGGTCTAACCTATCAAGTGACAATGTCCTGCACTTGAGCAATTAGATTTGTTGGTTAGTTGGTTGCAGGCTAAAGTATTCTTAATGTGTGCGTACCAGTAGAATGGAAGTGTTAAACATTTCATGTCCAGTGGTAATTATACGTACCACCTGATTTAACAACAGTTAATTCTACTTTTTTTTTCCAAAGTGTATTCTCAGAATAACAGAAGTTAATTCCTTGAACAGCATCAACTACTTGTTCTTTCTAAAGGTGAAATGTTGTGTTTTCTTTGAGGTACGGAATACATAAGACAATCATTTAACGAAAAGCATGTAACACTTTTTTACACCTTCGATAGTGGTGTAAATCGAAACCGATTTATATTATCCAAATTAATATTTCGTAAGTGGATGCCACATCTAATTTAACCTTCCAAATGTACTTCCTTTATGTGTTCATACGGACAAGGAACAGATAGAACGCAAGAAAAATCCTCGTTTACATCGATATCGAATCGTTTTCTCGGTATAGGATGTTATGAAATTAAACTCAGTCTTATGAATGTATAATGTCTTCACTGTATTTCAAATTATTCTACTAAATTACAAATTAAAACCGTAATTACTCTAAATGGTCATATATCAGTATGTTTATGCTACCAATAAATTAGGCAGTATATCGATACGCTGAAATTATATAAGATCGACATCATATAAACCTAATATCGATTTATCGATATCTGTCAGTCTGAAGTATGCTTAAACCAAACTTAACCTCACTTAACGACAACCAGGGTGTGTCGGTTCACGTACTGAAATATAAATATGAAATTATTTCGCATCTCTTGTCTCAGGGTTCAATAATCGAGTTCAGGCAGTGCAACAGTTCCCACTGCATTGTCAGTCTCAAAGCGGAACAAAAACTTCAAAGCCTGCATACAACTAACTGTGCGTGGGAAAATACCGGGCAGCACAACAAATGTGAGATTCGTGAGAAGGAGAACGAGTCCAGTGCAATTATTCTGCACCCTACATAATTAACTATTACAACGCGTAAAACGATGCAGGCTTGAGATTAGATTCACCTCACTCGCCCTCACTAAGAGGACGGATCGGGAAGACTTAAAATACTTCTAAAACATGGTACTTCGTACAGGAAAGCCGTCACCTACACTTTTTAATCGCGTCACAAACCCATTTTTAATTTTTTTGATAGATAACTGCGAAAAATTGTTCAGCCATCTTAATTTTCACTTACATCAGACACTTTTAACCATCACTTCACATACGAATCTAACCGGTTGAACCTTCCCGCATACGACATTTACCTTGGTTACCATTACTAGCACGGGTGACGTCATCCAAGCCAGATATCCGGCCTACGCAGAGGTCATGACCTCAGACAACTCTGATGCCATTTACAAAGGTCACTGGTCACATTCTGATGAAATGCAAGGCTATGCATGAAGTCCCCAATCTGTTATTTATAAAATCACATGCGCTGCGTTGTGACACCACACAGTGTGGACGCATGTTAACGTTTTCCAGTAACATCTGTCGTCAGGGAACAAGATCAAAATCTGAACCTCTGTCGAAACTCCACTGATTCTTTGTAATGCACTGTTTCATTATCCGCTTTCTTCACTGCTGCTTTATAAATCTCGAAAAGGAGGGCACTTAACGAACCAATTCAGTTGTTAGCGTCTTTGAATACGTTGCGGGATTGCGTTCGATTTCCAGCAACGTGATTTTCTTTATCGTGTCTATAATGGTTTTAGAGACCATAAAATTCTATTTAATTTGTAACTTTACAATGAACCTGATTCCACAAAAGACGGAATTTCTTAAGTAGGTGAGCGTCCTACTAGTTTTTAAAGAAAGACACTTCTCCATGTAGTTTCTTATAACACGATTTAATCCATTTTGTTTTTCGGTAGTGTGTTAATTTATTTTCGACCTGATCCATACTGAATTCTTGTAAAATATCTATCAATTTTATGGCTTAACCCTCTAAAGCCCACATGTTATCTATCTACATTTCCCATCTGCTTCAACAATAAATAACTCTTCATTTCGTATTGATGGGTTTCGTATGATTCTCTCTGTAAACAGGGATTATTTCCTTAAATATCATCAGCCAATTGATCATTGTAACAGTGAAGTGTGGTGTTTCCTTTGCAAAGCGCGCTGAATTCTTAAATATTATTTTACGAGTGTGACTTCAGTCTGATGGCCATTGTTCGTCAACATTCTGCTGTTAATATTTGACATTAAATGCAGTAATAGGAAACATTTCAGTCTAGTAACCACCGTAATAATCACTGCAGTTGGTACAATCTGCTTGTAGCACGATGTTACTCCTGGCGTGTGTGGTCCTCGCCAATACATTCGCTGGAGCAGAGATCAGGTCTGGCGGGTGGCGTCCCGTTGTCCCACACGGAGAGTCACAGAGCCATCTATCAGTCTCATACCACACTGTACACGCCGGCGGGGAAGAGTCCCCGCCTCTGCAGTACTACCATCAGCTCGGGGAGACCCTCGCTGCTGAAGACAGCAGGGGGCAAGACCACTGCGCCATCTACAAAGTCTCCTTCATACAGGACCTCTATTTCCAGGTATAGCGATCCATGGATTTCTGTGACCAAACGAAATTTACCACCTAACAAACGGATTCCCCTTCGATATATATATTCATCGCCGTATCAAACAAGACAAGAAAGGTGTCCTCTTTGGAGTACACGTACATTCCAGGTGTTCCTCAAGCCACATTACGGAAAGTACCAACGTTTCGAATAAACACAAATTACTGTCTTCAGGGCAGATGATGGGGAAAAAATGTTTCTCGGAAAAATCGGTGTTTACCTACAAAGACATCTTCACAGCCGTGATAACCTCAGATCTTAGACAACAAACTCCCTGCTTTTTATAGAATCTAAAGGTTCACTACTTTTTCCACAAGAGCTCGCCACTAATAACCATCCTCAGCCAATCACACCTTCATATCCGGTTTATTTATGGCCGATTTTAATATCATCCCACCTGCGCGTAGGCCAAATCAGTCAGCAAACTAACCAGCCATAAAATTAACGACCAGGGTTCTATTTCCGGCAAAGATAGGCACATTCTTTGTCCACACAACGCGTGGCTCATGGTTCGCTATCACCGCTCCCGGGGATAACGCACGCGAATTCTGAAACACAGCACCCAACCCCATCTAGATTCGAGGTTTAGAATTTACAGCGCTTTACCTCTACTCCCCTTATAAGCCTTCATTGCGCAAGTCATTTTACACAAAAATATATATTTAGTGTCTTTTGCAATGTGTAAGAGCATGGTGTCCAATTTCGACTATAATTACCTTTTGTTACGAGACCTGTACGTATCATTGCCACCTAAAATCACACAATGCAAAAATATCCCTACATCTAAAGCTGAAATACAGAATATAACAGAAAATATACTGTGACTAAACGAACGGTTTCTTACAGGACATCTGTTACCAGTTCTAGTTTTTTTTACAGGTGTTCAATATGGTTGGCACTGGTTATGGGGCGGGTAACCAGACAATATTCTAATACGTCTCACGATTTATCTAAGAAAGTGGCATCTATCAGAGCTACGGTGTTAATTACAGCTTTAACAAATGTTCTGTAATAAACTGTGTTGTGATAAAACAATTCGTTCAGTCACAATAAGTTTTAAGACATGAATAATTTATCGTGTTAAAACGAATAAGACGAACGTGACGTGTTAAAGCGACCTTCGTGCAGACCCTTAGTTACACTTGACTGGTTGGGAAGGTGAATATAAAAAACTTCACGGCCAGACTTACATAACAAGCATAGGACATCTCTTAATGAAAGCCGCAGAAAGCTTGTGTCAAAACTTTCTCTGCCTCGAGATGCGTTCGGCATGAAAGCTACCTACTACACCGGAGACAACAGAAAGTGTTCTTCCAAATTCCGAGAAAGCTACAACAGTCCAACTGCTAACTCCATCCCTGTGACAAGCGCTTCACATACGACTTTATTCTCTGCGGGCTTACGTATTTTTCAGAAACTACAGAGTAAGATCTATCTTTCTAATAAATAATGTTCGTTTGTAATAATATAATCATTTGCTGCTAAGGGATTTTGGCCTTAATGGGATAATATTACAACCGTTGCCATGGTAATGTTGTTGAGGGAGGGCTAGTATGCACTGTACCCGTTACGTAAATTTCACATCTCCATTTCACAAACACCAGCTCAGTTACTACCTGTGTTAACCCTTTCCATGAAAATCTTGCTTAGTATAAGAAACGATCTCTTATATAGAGAATAGCTTTAATCGTTGACAGACAACAGTGATGTTATCAAATATCTAAACTCACGTCGGAAAATCCCTTGTATAACACGCAAAGATACCACCCGCTCATTACGTCTGTCGTATGTCAACTGTATCGAAAGTGAAAATTGAATAATCCATTCTCGCTTCAAAGCAAGTGACGGCAGAGTAAAACCAATTCGCCTTGGTTTCCAGAAAAGTTTCTTAACTGGGGCGGCATTGCATGACACTTTATTATTAATATTATTCCATCTATTCACCACTTTATAGGGTATTTACTTCTATGTATCCGAGACAAACCTTGCCCCTGAGGTACGTAGTGCAGCAGCTATTTCCGAAATACATTTTGTTTTTAATACGTGTTACATTTATTATATAGTTTTAATGTGAGGGACGACTACATATTTTACGACAGCGTCTTTCGAATGATGTATGAAGATCCTAAAATGGCAGTTTTCTGAAGTTCCTTGATGTCGTATTCGCCCGAGATGTTGGCCAAATATTTTCTGAGTGACTTGGAGTCAGTTCCAGTTGCTCCTATAATTATTGGGATTATTTTTGCTTTCACTTTCCACATTCTCTGTATTTCAATGAGAAACCGCTGGACGGATTTGGACTAAATCTGATTTGATGACATTCTGCAAAACCTCAAAATCGTACTTTTCAATATCTTACGGCCGGTGATTACAAAATGACGGATGAAGGAAGTCGTAAGGTAGACATCGAGGTGCTGCGATCTGGTGGCCAAAGTGAGTGGCTGATTTAATACCTCTAAAAAGAACGCATGAGGATATGCATATTCCGGTATAAGACACACTTACCAAGCTTGTTTTCACTTTACAATTATTATCTCACACATTTTTATTTCACCTTCGCGAAACATGTTAATGGAGTATCAAATAAGGACATTCTTAAACAAAGTTTCATACAGGCTCATACTTCAATGTTCACTAATACAACGCCCAGGCGTGTCTATTATTCGGACCGAATGACCTCACAAATCAGGAGAAAAAAAATCCGCTACGTCACTGCACGTCCGTAGACCGCAGCGCGGATTAAAACAACCCCCACCCCTCCCAACTAGTGTGTAAAACATGCTTATTGTGTTGCAGTACATCCAGTACAAGACGTCACTGCCCGACTTCAAGGAGTTCACCGTCTGCATGTGGCACAAATTCTACAACCACTCGAGCGACCACCCACTCTTCTCTTACGCTGGTATGTGGTAGGTTATCTATAGCGAGCAGTGTTTATTTCTCCGCAGTCTGGGGTAGGCATGATAATGCCTCTGTCTCTAAGCTCCTTCAAAGAAACGTTGAAGCTGTCACAGTGACGAGGCATCACACAACGAGAACACTTGCGGGAGAGAAATTTTAATCTCGACACCAGATGGACGTGAGTAGTCAGTTCACTCTCTTGCAGCTTTATTCAAGATGAAAAACCACCCTGTCAAAGATGTTAAAATGTATCCCGCAAAAACTTCATAAAATTCCTGATTCAACGCACCGCAAAACTGTTGTATACACAAGACGCTTCGTCTCCATGGGATTGCAGGTAGTTTTGTTATCGGCCCAACCTACCCACTAATACCACTAATACCACTAATATTGTAAATAAATTTCAATTCAATAACAACCAATCAATCTACTGACAGCATCGTTAAATAAACTATAAATAAATTAATATCTTGTAATGACGGAAACAGAGTCAACGTCCAAAAAGTCGTCACAGACGGTGTTCAGTATAACTGAAGTGTAACCGTGAAATTACGATCATCACGCCTGAATTATATCCTGAAGTACCAACTTCGCATCTTCAACGGAACCTGCTTTCTCCATTACCTCCAAAAAAAAAAATGAATCAAACTTCAGTTGAAGCCCTAACTTCTTCCCTGTCCTTCCGTCATAATCAACCTATATAATATACATTTTTATAACACTTGTAAGTAATTACACATTCATCCACTACGTGTCGCCAGTGCCAAACCAGCCGCGTGCCATCTATCTGTGGGTTTCGAACAGTGCTCGCAGTAGCTACTTCAGCCTGTCGGTGGAGAGTCACACCTTCTTCAGACTCAACTACCCTCTGCGCCTTAACAGATGGTACCACTCCTGCACCTCGTGGAACGGCCGATCTGGCGAGTGGCAGATCTGGGTAAACGCAGAGCGCGTAGGGCGAGGCTTTCACAACAGGGTAAGTACCTTAATTTCAGGGCACATACACGACATCATTCACGCAAAATTCAAATTGTTACTAGTGGAGGTCGGTTGAACTACGGATGCACGGCCATGACGTCAGCCAGTGTCTGCAATATCAAACCGAAATGATGGACTTAATAAGAAACTAGGGCTGGGCTGGGAAGGAAAAAGTCTGATGATTTTTAAACGTTGAGATAAATAAATGCTTTAGTTTCAACGGTCATTCGTTGAAATATTCTATGATGACAGCAAGAATGATGGCTGACAGATGAGTTATCACATATCCAAACAGAAGAATAGCAATTTTTTTTAAATTATTTGACCTCAGACATATTTCTCTTGCAGCTCGTTGGCCACGTGATACCAGGAGGTGGCATTGCCATCACTGGCCAAGAACAGCGGCAATTTGGTGGTGGATTCTTGGAAAGGCTCTGGTGGTCTTCTGGGTGAGGTGACACAGCTGTATTTGTACAAGGCTGCTCTCGCAGCTGGAAAGGCTCATCGAGACCACAAACATCATCATGGTAACCATGTGAGCACCACCACACCTCAACCACCACCTGTCTCTACCGGCCCTCCGCTACCATCACATCCCCTTTTCATATCTGGGCAACTCATACCACGACTCAACGTCCATGCACAGCTTGGAGTGCGGCCTCAAAACCCATCTCCTCTCCCAGGAAATCCTCTGCTGGTATCACCTTTACTTCAGCAGTCTGGAGGCAGTACAAGCAGCATTTCGCTACCAGGTGTCTCTTCCTTTTCTATACATCATGCACCTGGACCTACTGCATCACTGGACAGCAGTCCATTGGCCATACAGCAAGACGGTGGCTCTCTCCTCAATATCCAGCACTCATTGTTCAAAAGAGATGACGAGCAGGATAAATCAGTCGCTGTGCAGGGCACAACAGCAGCAAGGTCAAAACGTAGCACATCCACTCACAAAAATAAATTTCCTCCAAAGAAGTACCTTCTAACAATCAAAGATCAGAAACTCGACAGTGAATTGAAGAAATCAGACGGGAGGTCAGCAACTGAAGCACAAGGCAAACGCAGAGTCACAAAACGAGCCGTTGACTTCGGCGACGATGACGACGGAAATGGACAATACTTTGAGTCTCTGGGTTCGTCACTTCTTGGAAACTCAGCAGGACTTCTGGGAGGAGATTTCAATCCAATAAGCACTCCACAGCAGGAAGACAATTATGACCTATCTGGTACAAGAGATAATTATCCCAGAGAACCAGCTGAAGGGGAGGTGTTACAAGTGATGAATGTCTGCTCAGGGTGTGCTCCAGAACCATTCAAGAAAGCAGAGCTCATATCCTGGAGAAATACACCCAAGAAACTGTACTCTGGAGCACTTTACACTTTGGCCAACCCGGTGTGCAGGAGGTTTTAGGCTAGTCTATTGTTAATGTTGCCATTAATGGTGGTTCACAGTGCTGGATTCAAAGATGTAAACATGGGAAAACATTCTTTGGACATTTTCAAATGTCTGGACTGGACATGTACGATATTTTAGAGGCCACTTCAAACTTCAGATAAAAGGAAAAGGGTTAATAACATAGTCAGATTTCATCCAATGGGCCTGTGCAATAGATAGACCACACCCTTTCCTTTTACCAGAAGACGAAACGCCGCACAATGATTCAGTCAAAATGTGTCTATGGTCAAAGACATCACCCAGCACCTGGTGATATCAATATTAGCCTTTAAAATGGACACGTATGAAGACATTCCTGTTGTTTGTGTGTGCATTTATGGGTTTAGAGGCACATCGGCTGCTAAGGCCGAGAAGCCAATAACAACCGCCAAGTATTTATTTAAGTCACAGTATTACAGTGCCTGAGGGGAAGAGACCGCTGGGGAGACCTAGACGTAGATGGGAGGATAAAGTCAGGCGGGATCTATGGGAGATAGGAGTTGAAGGAGACTGGATTTTGTTGGCCCAGGACAGGGTCCGGTCGAGGGCTTTGGTTAATTCGGTGATGAACCTTCGGGTTCGGTAAGCCATCTAGTTAGTTAGTTAGTTATTACAGTGCATGCAGCTGATGTGACCACAGCTTCAGAAGGATTATGGGTGAAGTACATTATAAATGTCGCAAAATTATTCCATGTTGACAGAGTAACATTATCCAAAAATTCACAATTTAATTAAGATAATGAAATTTAGTACTTCATCTTCAAAAAATTCATGCCTCGGTGCTTTCATACTGATGTATATTTGTGAAAAGACGTGGCTCTCTGGTAACCTGAGTCACCAACTACAACTACAATAAAACCTATCAAACAAGAAATCAAACCCTTACCGAAGAATAAAAATTCCCTCACTTCCAAAACAAAAGAAGTCAATGTGGAAAACATATCAATTTGATAGAACTGCATCTTTTATTCCTATACTGTGAACCAACATTGTTACACTTACGTTCATTACAAAACTGTTCTTATGATGTGTTTATTACAAGTCATGAACCATCAATTCGGTTTTAAATAAATGTAGTGACATTAGTATTATTAAAAAGTCAGACCTTACTAATCTTTGAGAAATGCCTACCAGTAAACGAGATTTAAGAAAAACAATTGATTTCCTCTAAATGTCTTAATTTCATTGGGCGTTCTGTCACTAAAAGGGTGTTGCACATTTTATATGAAATTCAATATTAACTGAATACTGCAATTCCTCCTAATTGAAGGAACCAGCCCTGTAAATATTACGCTAAAATCTCTCTTTAATGTATATTTGTTTTGTGCAAAATCAAAGCATAATTCATAAAACTTCTTAACAGCATACCACATTAATACATTCCGTATACGAATTCCTGAACAAAGTACAACAGCATAAAAATAAATAGAAACATACTACGCATATAACATGTTTCAATCTGCTGAATGTTTGACAACTTTTAGTCAAGAATGTATGCCATAATCCGATATCAATTAATTTTTGCTTTGATGTTGTTATAAAAAAACTTAATAAAACTTCATTTACAGGAGCAAACTTTCCATATTCACACATGGTAACGTAGATATTCATGCGGTACTGCGAAACATGTCTGAGAGAGTTCAAGTGTCGTAGAACACGAAGAAATAAGTAATTCGTACCATCTATCATTTGTCAAATATATTTTTAATTCAGTAAAATTTTGTAATGTAAACAGAAATGTTCAATTATTTATTCACCATAACGACAGTTCCATAAACCCAAAATTAATATCTTGACCCAGAGTTCAAGTTTTGGAGAACAGACACAAATTATGTAACAGATTAATGTCAGCCATAATTAAGCAAACACCTTCTTGCAGACAACTTTATAAGCTTATCTGTATAAAAATATATATTTAAAACTGCAACCAAGGTGTATTTTCCTTATCATTATCATCTCCACTTTCATTATCAGCTAATTTCTGCTGACTAGAACATTCCCATCAGCAAGATTACTTATTATAATACATAAATGCAAATTTGCATAAAATAAAAATATTTTTATGTTATATTTATTGTTCACTGATGCCCTACTGCCTCTCCTATCCTATGTATACTAGGTGGCCAGAATGTGAAATAAATCACTCATTTTTATATGTTGTCAATGTTAAGAACATTCTACCCATTGTACGTTTGCTTTAGAATTGCATCACTCATCCAACAGCTAGTGCCCTCCCTCCCCAAAGAAAAAACCGATGGAAACTAAAAGCTGCTCTCTCCAACTTAGACAAAGCTTCAAAGTAACGCAAATCAAATTTCCGACAGAGTGTTCCTTTGCTATGACCTGTTGTCCATTTCTCAATTTATCTTTTTGTGCCACAAGGTTTGTTCGTCTCGACTGATCGAACGGTTTTAAAATATGAATCACACCATTCCTCAACCTGTTTCTTATTTACAGGAAAAAGTCTACGTATACAGAGCCAACAAATGACAAGTGTACAGCCAATTAAATAAAAGCTCTGAATTGTGAAAAACACTACAGTGTACCACGATTTTTCTCAGTCCCCACAGGAAAATATAAGGCTAGTACCATAAATTATGGCATGTCCGATTCCTTACACATTATGTCTAAATCATTATTCACTAATGAGCCTATTACTTTACACTGTATAGTCCGAGCTACTGAAAATATTGTTAAATAAACCAAGAATAAATAAACTACCCACTAGTGAGATACAGTCCAACATATGGGAAATATTCCATAATACACAGTACCAGTAAACCACTTCATAGTGTTCGTAGATCGTCACGAATCAGTTACGTTGCTGTACGTAGAAAAAATAAATTCTAGTAGCAGCATATAAAAGTTAAAATCAAGTAACTTTTTTCCATCTAATTAAAGAATATAATATAATTTAATGTGTTGCAGTCTCAAATATGATCTTATATTGAATTTATAATAACTGCACTGTATTCAAATACACATACATTCCCTTCCCTTAACAGCATTAACGTGGCAAATTTATTCATATACAAACTGACCCTAAATCTATTTCGGAAGGTGGGAATAAATAAGACCTGTATCATTTAGGATTTTTGTTGGTCGCACATACTGATCACTGATGCATGCAACATGATACCATGCTTTGGACATCCCTGATCGAACATAAACGAAGAGCCAACCCCAAGTCAAAGCTGTAACCAATCAATGGTGTTCACTCATGCTGCAATAAGTTGTCACCAAATCAAACATTGGAGTAGACCCTCAGTTCCACTCAATATTTCTTTGCATTTCAGACTCCAAGGCACTTTCATTAAACACCGACAGTAATAACATTCATGATGTAAGATGGAATGTGTATTTCATCTCTCGCTAGAAATTGTCATACGGATTTCACTATATTGTTTCCACACGAAATTAAAGCATAAATCCAAGTATTAGATTCTGAAAATATGAAACCTATGAAATATGTGTCAGTGCTCATGAAGTTCAAACACTTATTACATTTGCACCATCAATTTGTGAGTACATCAGAAGTTGGCGAAACAGACTGAACATTTCACATCGCCTATCACAAGCATAAGGATACCGTCTCGTTCTGAAAGAACTTGGTTCAAAGCTCTGTTGAGACAGATCAAATATTTGTTATTCTCAGTCTCATACAAATAATATGACAGAATTTTAAAATAAACCCCTCTCTAATCCTTCATTATTGATAATCATTATTACATTTAATCTGGCACTGTATCATTTATTGTATGTTCTCTCTCACCTAAGAAACAGTCATGCATTCTTAGTATAACTCTGTTTGCTTCATGCTTACAATTTTTAAAAATTATGACAGCAATGATCAAACAATGGCACTGGGATTTTTAATCAATTATCATTTAAAACTGTACTAATTTCAAGTAGCACTAGAATATAAAATAAGCCCTAACTCTACTCTGCACCAATAAAAACCTGCATCTAATGAGTAAATCATAAGATTATGAAATATACTGTTCATTACCTTGCCTTGTATGGCAGTCATTCTACATAGCACAGAAACTTTCATGTAATGTTAGACAAGCGGAATAAGTCACAACATCTATTTCCATTCTTCTCCTTATATTCCGTGCTTTTCTGTATGATTCCGTCTTCCAAAATATTTCACTTATTAAGCATGGTCCATCATACATCAATATAACTCTAGCGAGGCAAGTTCAAACAGCACACATTCTGATGTACCACACAGGAACAAATACTTTCATTGCCTTGAGCCTCAACAGTTTTAAAATAAGTTGCTGGAAGTAAATAATATATGCCTTCAAATATGGATGCACAAAAAAAAAATCTATTGCTTTTACACACCCATGTATCCATACATTTATAACTGACTTTCAATCATTTAACGCAAACTCTGATTTGCAGCGGCTTGTCTGTCCCTCTATCATACTATTACAAAAACATTGTATAAATGCCCCCAAATCTCACTAAACAGTGGTTTGTTTATCCCTGTGAAATTTAATGCAATATGGTGACAAAGTTCTGTATCCGATATTCAAAATTTGTAACACCCCTTCAATGTATTGCATAGAATGTGCCATTATATTCAAAATATAAAGTGTCCCGTTTGTTCAGGACGCCTGGAGAACTCTCTTATCCGGTAAAATAAGGAAAAATGTTTAAATCATATAGGTCCAAACTTACATTAATAATAATAATAATAATAATCCGTGGCGTAACAGCCCTCCGAGAGCCAAAGCTGACTAGCTGGCTGCTGGCCTCACGTTCACATGCCTAAGCAGAGGTCAACGGTCATCTAACCAGATATACAGTGATGTGTGGTCAGCATGACAAACCCCCAGCCATTTCTAGTTTTCATGACCGGATTACGCTACCATTGTAGCTCCCCAATTTATTCACGATGCTGGGTTGGCACTGGTCAAAAATCTCATGAGAAAATTTCTTCTCCCCCGAGACTCAAACCAGCGCGCATTCCTTATCACCAGTCTGAAGCATGATGCCTCAGATCATTCTTAACCTAAACATTATATAGGATGAGTATTCAGTGTCACCCCCCCCCCACAAAAATTGGGCCCCTGATACCTATTGCATAGGGGGCTGGGTGGTTGGGATGCATAGACTCATACTGAGAAATGTCTTCATTCCAAAGTTCCATCTCATTACCTGATAAAATTAGGATAACACATTTACTTCCAGCAGCCTGGTGAAGATGACAGTGGAGATCCCTACCTTGCTTTTGTGGATGTGCTGGTGTTGATACTCCGAGTCAAATTCAGGCTCACTGAAATATGACTGGTCCTGGTCCCACATGGGTGGGGCAACCACTCCGACACCTGCGCCAGGCAGCACGCCACCGTTCATATCTGTAGATTCAAACAACCTCAGGACTGAGCGATCACGAATGTCACGGAGGTGTGACCTGCAAGCAAATCATATTCCAAACCACATCAGCTCAGATGGCAAAAAATATTATAATATAAAAACATTATCATATTTCTTAAATTTTAAGACATGCTTATTTCTCACATTTTAAATTTTCTAAAATCAGGATGTCTTTCATTTGATGGTGCCTCTGAATCAATATAGCATATTTTTTCCTGAAGACCCATTACTAAATCAAGGGTGTCATATAATCGAGTGTCTTTAAATCGAGAAAATATGGTTGAATATTAAATATAAAATACAATAAGATTGATTTTGATGTTAAGAAATAAATATTAAAAACTCTTCTCGTGAAAATATTTACTACAAAAATTGTATTGTGTATTTGGTATTTTCAACACAAAAGTGGCAAAAAGCATGTGTTATGCATCTCTACATTTTCCTAGATAACAAGACCCCACCTTTAAAATTATAAAATATCTTTATCACACACAATTTTCCATTGAAATAAATATGTTAATATTAATAAATAAAATTCTTAATCATAACTTAATTACAGCTTTATTTTAAATTATATTATAAAACATGATACAACATATGACATTAAAAATCTGGTTCTGAAGCAGAGCACAGTCTGTTTTGGGGGCTTCTGCCACTTTGCACATCTTTTGAATTGTATGTTAGGCCGTCAAGTCTCATTCTGTTCTACAACTTCCAAGTACCGGGATGGTGACGGATCTATTAAGAAGTGACGAGACGGTTCCATGTCCTTGAGACACAACACAAAAATATAGTCCTACCTAATTCCCCAATTTCAAAAACAGATTTCTCTATACAGATTTGCGTTATATTCAAATTCAGTCATAATATGAGATCTCTCTTTCAGGTAATGGGTGTAATAAGATAGAAGAGACTTGTACAATTCTGTCAGTTCTAATTAGATTTTCATTACAAGTAATATATTGTATAATGAAATATTAAGTATTGTTATTCCATCTATCTTGGGGGAGAAGAAATTCTCTCATGAGATTTCGACCGGTGTATTGGACCGGTGCCAACCCAGCATCGTGAGGAAATTGGGGAGCTACAATGGGTAGCGTAATCCGGTCATGAAAACTAGCAGTGGCTGGGGGTTCGTCATGCTGACCACACGTCACCCTATATCTGGTTGGATGATCGTTCACCTCTTCTTAGGCATGTGAACGTGAGGCCAGCAGTCAAGCTAGTCGGCTTTGGCTCTCTGGAGCTGTTACGCCACGGATTTAATTTAACTTTTTATTCCATCTATCTACTGTCAACATCTACACATCAAAACAGATAACAACTGTCCTGTCAGAAACTAAGATACTGTGTAAAAGGGAAACTGAAATAAGCCATTCATAAGTTAAGAAGTAATATTTTGAAGATTTCTGTCTTCTGGGTTGTTGCGCCATGTAATCAGGTAGATTTCCACCAACGTTGCAGAGGTCATACTGCCTCCATCATCAGGGCAATGATCTTCAGACTCACCGCTGTGAAAACCTCAAATCTTACAAGTAATATTTTAATAAACTAAGTAAAGATAAGCTAGCATTGAGCTAATGCAAAGCTACTGATATACCAACCTGAGGTCTTCAAGCTCATAGAACATGTCCTTGGATGAATCATGAATGTAAATCTTGACGTGAGGTGAGTCTAGGTACTCCATGGTGAGCTGCTTGGGAAATGATCGAACAAACAGTGCCTTCACTGTGTCGATTGAGGTGATCTCATTGGGCAACAGTGCACGCTTGGTCTCGCTGCGGTACTGGAGGAATACCAACCCTGCGCAGCATTTTAATAAACTAAGTAAAGATAAGCTAGCATTGAGCTAATGCAAAGCTACTGATATACCAACCTGAGGTCTTCAAGCTCATAGAACATGTCCTTGGATGAATCATGAATGTAAATCTTGACGTGAGGTGAGTCTAGGTACTCCATGGTGAGCTGCTTGGGAAATGATCGAACAAACAGTGCCTTCACTGTGTCGATTGAGGTGATCTCATTGGGCAACAGTGCACGCTTGGTCTCGCTGCGGTACTGGAGGAATACCAACCCTGCGCAGCATTGCAACCAAACACACCATGTCACGCTCCCTCCCTCGCACACCCCTAAGCCACAGATATTACCAACTGCAATTGTTACACAATATTAAAGAAACTCATGGAAATCATTGGGGCAAGAAGATTAACATTAATCTACTGAAGCTAATATACAAAATAAATGTTTTCATTTTCAAAGACTTTCTTGTCTTGTCAGTTTTACTGTGAACTACATGGACCTCAAACACTTCAGACTACATACAAATGACCCCTTCAAATTTCTGATAACCACAATATCAAGAATAAAAGATTTTAGGTTAATCAAATGTTGACCCAGTTCAATTTCAGTTTTACTAATGTTCTTGTCCTCATTTTGTAGCCAGGGACTAACTGTTGTTGGCATATAGTCAAATCATTAAGTTAAAAAAAATATATATATACCGCTCTTTTAGAATGCAATTTTTTTAAAAAATATGTTACTGTATTCAACGAATCAGTAATGACCACCACCATCCAACTAGCACTTTACAATATATCTAATTCTAACAGAAAATAAACAGCAAAGAGTTATAAAATGGGGTGGTGGGCTGAAAAGGAGGAAACATGACTAAACTCAAAACTTGTGTTATAAAAACTTTTGTTTAAATGTTTTTCTACACAATTTTAAGTCCTACAATACAAGAAATGTTATTAAAGGTCCCTATCTTTTCACATTTTTAAAAAATATTCCTCAATAAACATTCTTTGTGTGTGTAATATATGCAATTTGATTGTTTGAAACCTTTAGCACATATAGCTGTGCATTATTTCTGCTCTGAAGCAACTCCCAAACTTCCAAGAATCAGAGGATTCTACAGTACAAACATATGCTGATCTCTCTGTCAGTGTGATGTCAATGTCATAGCATACACATAAACAAATAACATTATGCTTACATATCACATGAAGAAGAAAAGTTAATTTCTAAGATCTTCAAACTTTCTACGAATCTAAAAGTTTGCCTTTGTGGTTTCAGATTTTGGTAATAACATTAACTCCTTTTGCTGCCCATGTATTAAATTACTGTACATGTATCTGTACAGGATTCGCTAAGACTTAATCCTTCAATCTGGACAGACACAAACAAAGCTTCCATGTATTTCAGCTGAAGCATCTTAAAGACAACCTAAAATTAATAAAATTTGTAAAGAAATGGTGCAAAAATCATAGTTAAAGAATAAATACCAAACAAGATAAATGTACTTATAAAATGAAATCCAATAAAAAGAATAAATAAGAGCTTAAGTATGTAAAATATAAAAACAAATAGTAATAATAATAATAATAAAGCTCCTAAAAATTTGAATGTTTAAAAACCTGAAGTCAATGCATCGTGCTGAATGGGGGATGAATTTAAACAAATAGTCTGAATCAAAAACAGCAGAAATAAACTTTACGTAGTTAAAACTCCTGATAAAATTTTCTTTTAGTGGAAATTTAGTTCATATTTACGTAATTCATACCTTGCGGCTAGCGTGATATTTCCGATCTTGTAAAGCGCGTCACATAAATGTACGCAAACTTTTGCCTGGATCATGCCTTAACTAACAAACTGAAAAAGTAGACAAGTGACCCAGCACACCCCACATAAAAATACTTTGTGATGCAGATAATTGTTTACTTTCTAAATAACGTTTATCCTCAAAATTGCTTGATTTTATTCACAGAACTTTTTTCAGTGCCTTGTAACATATTTGACAATCACAAGAGACATGTGCGGTTCTACAGATACCTAAAACCTAATATACTATATATGACTGTATTACTGTGAATGTGCAATTGTCAGAATATGTACACACACATGGACCGCTGAATGTGCGTAATAAAATAAAATCTGTCAATTAAACTATTGACAACTATTTTCCTAATTAAAGTTGCTTAACTAACTTAAAATTATAAACCAGATCAATTTTTCACACACACACACACTTGTCATTCTATTAACCCACGACATATTTACGTATACTTATTACAGCATATATTACATCCCAAAATGCTGGGTGTAAAAAAATTACAAACTTTTCTTGATATTTTCTAGAATTCTAAACATTAATTCTATGTTTGTTCCATAAACTTCCTGCCATGCTTGATATCAGCACATGATGTGCAATCACATAAAATAAAATTACCTAGTGCATATTTAAATTTTTTCACACTTCCCCCCCCCCCAAAAAAAAAATCAGTGTAAAAAAACATTGTGGCTACAAAGGAACAAACAGAAAAGTGCAGAGGAAACACCAGAAAGATAATACACATTTACGGAATCCAGAAAATAAAATAAATTTTTACACACTCTTAGGTGAGAAATGTGGCAACCTTGTCATCAAAGTGAGGCAGTGCAACAGATAGTATCATTCAAGAAATTAATATAAAATCTTGCGAGATTCAGATAATAAAACACATAAGCATACTACGAACTCTCCTGTTTGTTTAAGATCATGTTTCTTATCCAGTGCTGAAATTGTACCTTTCATCCAAAATAAATGTAAAATTGTGACTACAAAATATACAGTAACAGTAAACCCAAGGACTAACAAATCATCAGAATATGTCTGATACAAATTTGAAACAGTGCCAGTAATCTCTGCATTGGCTCTTAAAATGAATATTGTTATTATTTTTTTAATTTAAGTTTAAGAGTATCTTGTGACTAACTCCATGAAGCTCTGATCTTCTAGGAGCTACTAGTGAGACACTGGTCCATATCAAATGTCAGAAGAATCCAATTCACACCTTCATATTCATTTGTGTAAAATCAACTTTAATATCAGCTTCCCATCTACGCTGAGGTCGTACGAGTAGTTCCTTCCCTTCAGGCTCTCCAATAAAATGTTTGTATGAATTTCTCATCTCCCTCATGCGCTGCCATCTCATATTTCATTTGATCATTGTCATAATATGTGAGGAAGAGTATAAATTTTGGACATAACTGTTTAGACTTTCCCATTATTTCATTCATCTTTGGTCCAATTGTTCTCAGCACCCTGTTCTCAAACACCCTCTATCTGTATCTTTCTCTTAATGTGAGAGACCAGGTTTCGCACCCATTCAGAACAAAATGTTAAGTTCCAATTCCATACGTTTTAATCTTTACATTCCTAGAGAGCAGATAGGTGTGTGGTAATATGCACTTAACAAAGTAATGTCACGTCAGATTTTATAATTGAATTTTACAAAGTATTGTATAGGTAAAGATAAGCCAATTAGATTTGTTCTTGTAGTTCATTAGCAGAACAATGTTCACACAGTTCACATGATACATCTACTAATAAAATCTCAGTTTAATGGAACGCATTTTGACCACTCGTTCCCATCGCAGAGTACATCACTACTGTTCTATATTAAAAACCAACCAAAAAGCTACCTAAGGGCGGAGTCCTGCGCAAGGGCAAGACATCATCCCTTGCTAGGTAACACCATTCCTGCATACAAAACGCATTGCTGGAAATGGTAAACAGAGCCTTATAACTAAAACGAGAATTTGCTTACGCTAACGGGGTTCTGTCATGGCAGGAGCCTCGACCATTCAAACTAGTCTGTCGCCGCTGATAGGAGGTTATCCCTTCAGGCAACTTGTTCTATATTAGCTTCATTCATATTAGCCATACACTAAGAAGCCTGCAATCATTCTGTTAATCATAATTAATAAAGCCTAATGACTTTATTCCCAGTACTATCACTGATTTTGCACTGTTTCTGTCATCTTTCTTCTACCATATCCATAATTAATGTGCACTCTCTCCCACCATAATGTTCCACAGGATATTTATGTTTACATTTTATTATTAGCAGGGCCATCTATTGACAGAATTAAGTACTACAACTACTGTTGGCTGAGCCCCTTACTAGCAGATCCTTCATATTATACAATTCCGCGCAGGATAAAACATCTTCATTTTCAGGGACATTATAAAATACTATTTCCCACCTTCGAGCAAATAAATAGCATCTCTTTAATTATTAATTTTAAAATGTTTGCAAAAATAACTTTTGTTTAATCTTGGAAATAAATAAAATATCAAAACTGTGTCATGGATGACATCCAAGATGTCTGGTCATTAAATAAATGGTACACAGTCCAATAAAGAATGATGATGTTTTCATAGTCTGGCAATAGAAAGAAGTTGGCAGTACAGTGCTGCAAAGCCACCAGATTGCAATGATTAAGGACTAATGAAATTATAACAAGAAAATGCGCGTATAACAAAATAATTCAAAATGCAACACAGCATTCCTCTTAAAATTAATATCTGACTCCCCCCCTCCACTTCACAACTTATAGGACTTTAGAAACCAATTTTTATAACAAGGGTTACCAACCATTACTAAATGATTTCTGAGCACTGAATGTTAGTGGATTACTGCCTTTTAATTTTCAGCCATTAATTTCATATCTGCTTAGGACAGTAGTCGTTTCAAGTACAATATCAAATATTAGTCTGCGACAGCCATTATTAATTATATATTTGAAATTTTATTTATGTTTTATATCAAGCTACATTTTAAGCATGTGTGTATGGTATTTGTAGCAAAACTACTATGCATTCACTGATAGTGTCTTCGTATCAAGGCCAGAGATATAGAAATGCTCACAGCACTTATCATTGAAATATAATTGGAAATTTTAAATATGCATCTTTAAAGTATTCATATAATTGTCCCTACATAAAGCCCAAAATACAGGCTTCACATTTTAACTACAAGAAAAAAAAAATTACATCAACGCTGAATTTAAATAAACTGTGTGAAGTCCGTGGAGATAGTAAATAAAAAATGTATGAGGAGAAAAAGTGAGACATCCTCTAAAACTGACATATCCAATCAAAATATTTCTCTTTGTCTATTTTGTGTCGCTTCACAAGTCCTCACTCTGTGTTCCTAACGTCATAACGCTCGTTATTTGTGATTCTTAACAAACGGAAAGTTCCCCCATTTTGTTATTAATGGCAGCAACAAATATTTTTAACTTGTCAAAAGGCAGAAACAAATTGCATCACCCACTACTGACGACCAGGTAGCCATACTTTCAAACTCAAAATATTAGTCCCAATCCAATGCTGGTCCAGAAGAAGTCGCCAAGAATACGATCATAACCAGTGTATATCGCGATTAACATGTACATGAATTACATAAAAATATACTGATCATCAATTTCTATAATTACTGATATTTCAAACTCACTTCGTCTTTGCATTGTAAATTATATACACGTTCTTACAAATTTCATACGGCTGCTCTGGAAACTATTCGGAATAAACTAACAAAAATACTGAAGCAAACGAACGACTATTACATGACGAAACTCGATTTTCACACACTGGTTGCAACCATATAGCATGACACAAAAAACACAACCAATTTCATTGGTCATTATATTACACCACCGTCCCTCAGCAAACACAAAACCATGTCAATCCATGGTCATTAACAAAAACTGTGAACATTTCCAGTACTCTGACACAAGTGCATCAATCTGAAACTTGGCGGTAGGGGCACTGCAGAAATGAATAAACAAAGATGCTAGGATATCAAGAAATTTAACAAAACATCAAATACCTGCAAAGATGAAACAGCCTGTACAAGAACCACTTAAAAGTGCAATGTGACAGTATTTTGAAGCATGCAACTACAAACAATTGGAATCAATAAAAGCAAGACTTCAAATAATTAAGAAATCAATGACGCCATAATGTAGTAACTAGTTCGATACTTAGTTCTTTCATGTTATCATACATTAAAATTTAATCAGGAATAAAGACTTGTTGAACAAAACATGTCATTCATTGTGAGTTTATATGCATTCATTGGTTGGTTTCTATCACACTGCCCTAAGCAACATGTCATTCATTGCGAGTTTATATGCATTCATTAGTTGGTTTCTATCACACTGCCCTAAGCAACAGAACCATTGTAATCCCTTCTCCTGTCAACAGACATCATTTGTAAAGACCCATTTATATATGACTTTTAAGAATCTATAAAAAAACATGTTTGCTGATGGCTCTACTGCTTCACGTGAGGTTTTACTTTGTAAAACTCATTAAATTGTTAAGATCAGATAATTCTAAATTATATTCCAAGTATAAAAACTGGAGGTCTCTACAATACAAAAAAATTAAACGTAACTACCGAGTGCTGCTCTGGACATACATAAAAAAATCTTAGCCAAAGATACTTCAAAAACCCTAAACCTTTTTTGACAAGTACCAGTACGGTACCGGCGAGATTCACCATGAAGGAAATTTAAACACTGTTTTGCATAGACTTCCTAACAGGAGTGTCACCTACATGGCTTTGAACCAGGAACTCAAAGCACAAGTGAGTCTTGTCTGCAGACTCCCATGTGTCTTGGTCCTAACTGAGGATTCTGAATTTTCGCATTACTTCAGTGTTGTTGGCCAATCATATACCACATTTTAAATATTTATACAGCAGTAGACTTTTTACATTAATTATTATGCCGTCTCCTTTTACAGGAGGTTGGCGACATATTATGAACAGGATCCTTCCATCCTTTTCTCGGCCTGGGACCTGTTCGCATATGTTTTTTTACGCAGGCGATACAGAAGTGGTATGCATTGCCTTCTTCTGTGTGTGAATGGAGTAATTGTTGGGATGCCACGGAGGAAAACTCCGTGTTGCCTAGACCACGGCCTTGCCCAACACAAGTTATAAATTCAGGCACCGCTGGGAATCTAACCCGGGACCCCAGGATTACAAGGCCAGCGTTCTAACCGCTAGATCACCGTGGCAGTATAATTAATTATATATAGTCCCTAAAATAATTTCAACCTAATTATGTATTATCTACAGAGCACCACAATTCCAGGATGGATCTGTCTACCACAAATTAACATCGTTTGAATCTTTCTTTCCTTCTGGGAGTCTGAATGAACTGTACTTGAACAACACACTTTGCTTTTCAGAACTCCAAAGAGCTCTGATGCATTAAAAAAGATATTTTAGGAAAATACTCAAGCGCTAGTCTTGACATAAATAAACTAATTTCACACCAAATTAACTGTAACTTAGCTGATTATAAAAATACTGTCCTGTAACTAAGATCATATTTCAGTTATGATCATCAATTATTCTGGGTGTGTGTGTGTACTTTAAAAAGTCACAGGGGGGGCGGGGGGGCGAAAACTCTACCCCACAACTGCTTTGAAATATTTGTGTTTTCCTACTGTTTCAAACAATGCAAAACATAGTTTGATTTGACATTACTCTAACATCATGCTGTTCTTTAATAAATTCTTTCATGGTGTTCCTTCGTTCTTACAGACCAATGCCAGGACAAAGATCAGAACACACCTAACCTCACCCCCCATAATTTCCAATTCACTGTACAGAAACTTTGTATAATTCTGTTATATTTTCTTTAAAGCTGCACGACCTCTGCAGTTGATACAGTTGGTAAACTTCTACCAGACTACACGGCACAACAACCCAGAAGACAGCCGTCTTCCGACAGTTTTAATTAGTTAATTTAAAAATACATAAACAAATAAGCAAGAAAGCCCTAAATACACATGGAAGCCAGGGTTATAACGAATGTCTAAAATCCTATTTTCTGTACCTGTGAATGGTTTGGATAAAATTGTCAAATAAAAAACAGTATCGTTCCAGCCGAGGACTGAACCTGCGTGTCCAGTTGTGAACCAGAATCAGTGTAGCAGAACAAATTAAAGCTTCCATAATGGTATAGAAACTCAAAATTATTCATGAAATAAAGAAGAACAATGACCACTTTCGAATTAACAAAAATATAGAATATTTCTTTATTCGCAAACACATGTAGAGGAAATATGGCATATGAAGAACATGACCTGTCTCAATCAGTATTACTCACGGAAAGAGCCTCAAATTATGATCTTACCGACTTTCAACCGAACGTTCCAGAAGTACGAGCAACTGTAAGCAGATACTGCAACTTCCAATGACAGACTATATGACAAGATGGCAGCAGACAGAAAGCAATCTAACATGATCTATAAATAATGATGCAGACATCAAATTCTCTACGATTCCAAAGTGTAAGTTTCTGAATACAAAAAAGCTATGCAGAGAAAAATAATACTAAAAAAAAAGCTAAATAATATTTCAGTCTCTTATCCCAGAATGACCGATATGGATTCATCACAAAGCCAGGATGGGAAGTTGAATCAGAAACATTATATTATATTTTTATGTTTATGTGATCATTTAAGGATTAAAGATTTTATTATATTAAAAACTTTACTTTAAATGTCATACGTACTAAATGCCATTGCATACCGCATCGTTCCATGCACACGTCCATGGCTATACCACAAAGCAGAATTTTCTAGACCACGTAAGCTTCGTTATAGTCTGAACCTTAATGTGTGAAGTCTTTATTTATGCGGACTTTCTCTAAACACATTGATGACGGTGGGCCTACACCATCAGCCATGCATATGCAAAACAGAAAAAAAACTGAGCATCACCAAATCTATCACCATCAAAATCAGGCAACAATTATAATATTAATTGCGGCAAACTAATACATGAGAGCGAGCGCACTACTATAAGGTAGGAGAGAGGTGCCCCTACCGCCGCTTGTCGCAGTTGCAGATGACTGCTTGTTAGAGAGACCATGGTGGTGATTGAGGAGGTGCACCATCTGGTGATGGTGAGTTGCCATGGCAGAGGGGTGTGGCAAAATCCTGAGCATAGGACCAACACCGGCGGGGACACCAGCTCCAGAGGTCTTACCCAGCGGACGTTCCAGTGTTTTAGATGGTGTGCGGACGACCGGCAAGGAACTGCGTTGTTTGCCTCCGCGGCGAAATCCCGTTGAGCTTGTCTCCACCTCTGACATGATGCCAGGATCATCATCAAACAACATGGCTGAAGACGGTGGTGGATAGCCACGAGGCAGAGGTGACTAAAAATAAACACAAGATAATGATAAAATTATCTGCATATATCAAAAATTTAATTTATATTAATATTATACAACAAAATATTGCCATGATTAATACATAAACTATAACCTTCATAATATTAAAATTTCCCTCTGAATTAATATAATTATAATATCTATAAATAATCAGAAACAAAATCATCACTTACAAAACAAAACTGAACATACTGAATTAAAGAGTGATAGGCTGCTCTAAGACACGAAAACCATAAAACTATAACACTATACAATGTATCACAGTTTTATAACATGTAAATACATTAGTATAAAATACTTAATATCTTACATTCATTATATCTACAACAAAGATTGACAAAACAATTTATTACTTCTCTAGAAGTTAACACTTATTGTCAGAAAATAATTTTATCTAATCAATCTTGAATTATGTCTAAAATCACCTTTTATTTGAACCTTCAAGCTCAAGAAATTCACTGTTGTTATGAAACCCATAGCTTTACTGTCATCATCACCCAAGCATACAGTTGGTCCATCTGACATAACTTCACACATGCAAGCATATTACAATGCATCATTTTTTTAATATGAATCAACTTCATCTCTCAAAATGGTCCATTTCCATGAGACTTTTCAGTAAAAATTCTGTGATCATTTCTTGTTCCCCTCATCATACCCTTCCCACTTCATCTGCCTTAATTTAAATAATGCCAAAACGAAAACTGTACAAGTTGCCTGAACCATGAAGCCCTTTTACCATATCTTCATTTGTTTCAGCTTGAAGTATTCATTTTAGTACTTTGTTATCAAACTCTGACTTTTAGTTCATGACAAGTTTTCATTCAACTGCACTTTTCACTGAGGAGTTGTTAGCTGTATGCTCTAGCCCATGTAGGATGTCCGCAATAGCTTACCTCCATATGTGGGAGTCATTTCCCTGCATGCAAACCAAGGGTGCACTAACATTGTGGCATGAGACCAAGGTAACATAAATCACGTACACACACTTGCAAGCCACAAAGTACCTTTGTCTCATATAGTAAAACCTCGTCCAACGTGGGTTTGACCAACGCATATTCAATTACACACGTGAAAATAATGCAAACAATTATGTGCCTCCTCTTGTCTCACAAACTGCACATAACCTGCTGTATTGGTATCACTTAATGCTGTTACCACGTTAACTTGAATCCTATTAGTTTCCTGAATATGATATTGTCCTTGAACAGCATTATGGAACCAAAACGTCAATGTAAAAGAAAAGTTGTGAGGTTATAACACTAAGTGAGAAAATAAAGATCGGAGATAAGGTACGCAGTGGTACCAACAAAGAAACAATTGGCCTAACATTTCGATGATATTATTTAACTTATGGTTTATATTTATCTTAACTAGAGCAGGGCGCTCCTTTCGGAGCTCCTAAGGAGGGTTGGTAAAGTTTGTAAAACACCACCAACCTTGTGTAAGAAACTAAACTAACCGCCCCGAATGGGGGGTTTAAACACTTGACCACCCCCCCCCCCCCCTGGGGGGGGGGGGGGGCTAGTCAAGTTTTTAAAACGCAACCAACCCGCGTTTTAAAATCTTGAGTAAGAAACTAAACCAACCTTCCCGAATGGGGGGTTAAAACACTTGTGTTGGTACAACAATGCCGAGTAAACAAATATAACGT